AAAAATCTATAATATCTATATATCTAAGCTTAAATCTATTTTTGAACTATAAATTATCTGATTACAGATTGTTTGTAATGAAATGGAATATCTGATAAAACATATGCCTGTTACTGAAAGCAAAACAGACTTTGTAGTTCAAAGAATGGCAGAAATCTTTAGAACTTTGAGAAAGTATAAGAAATCATCTAATTCAAAGTCTAATCAACAAACGTTTGATGATGTAATCGTTTTGTGCCTTCGATACATCAAATTTTTTTATTATAATTTAAACAATAATTGGAATTTATCAGATTTTTATTCTCAATTTCTTTCATTAATCAATTCAAATTGGAATTCTTTGAAAGATGTAAAACAGAAATTTTTCATCTTAAATTCAAATTATTTTAAAATGATAATTTTTTTCTCAGAAACAATTGGAAATATTGTCAGTTTTACTTTCAACATTCAATGTAAACATTGGTAACCCTCAAAATATCAGAAAACTAGAAATTCTAATTAACAAATGTGATTTTTCTGATGTAGGTTATAAAGATTTTATATCCACTTTTTTAAAATCATCCCCTCTTTCATTTTTATTTTTCAGCATTCATTAAAAGACATATTAAATTTTCGAGTTAGGACAGTAGATAGAGAATGACATGGCATGAATGTGGCACCACGAATGAGCTTGTTTGCAAAATCCTAACTTTGGCTGAGTCGAGCTTCCCTTTTAAGTGAATCTTACATACTGATATACATTCACTGACTCACACTAACACATAATATATAAATGTTCTGTTCACGGGGATCCGGACAGTTGACCCCCTGGACAGTTGACCCCATAGGACAATTGACCAATATTATAAATATAGATGTTGTCAAAATATTTTTTTTATTCATTTAAATGGTTGAAAAATTGTATTCAAGTTATATTTTATTCTGGAAATTGATTTGTATCCTATTATAAAGAGTTGATTTCATTGATTAGGATAAAAGGAGAATTTGAAATTTTGAATTTCCCTCCATTTCAGAGAAATGACAAGAAATCTTCAGTGGAGAAGGAGGAAAAATGTACTTCCTTTTCTATTTTCACTCAATTTGGGGTTAGTCATTCTGGTTGTTTTTGATGGTTTTTAGGGATTAATTGGAACTATTACTGTTCTCCTCTTTATTTTTAACAAAACTAAAATATTCTGATATATATTTCATCAACATTTTTTGAAATTTGTGGCAGAATATTGATTTAACCATGTTTTATGTTTTTCAATGTATTTATTCCATATAAAACTTTCAAATTGAGTTCAGATAGGGAATTTAGATAAATTTACATCTAACAAATGTCTGCCAACTGCTTATACTGCCATCAAATAATTTGCCCACTGCAAACAATGGAGTCCTGCTCTTTGTGCACACATATGTTTCATCAGGATTGTCTGAAAGGTCAGTGTTATTGTAATCATAAATTTTTGTAATTTCAATTTAAAAACTAAAGGACAAGACTGTTGTGATATATGCATAGATATAAAAACAAGAACATGTCAGGTACAGTTAGTTAAATTGTCCAAAAATGATATAATACTCAGCAGCAATCAGCCTGAATTGAAAAAGCTAAATCTTCAATCCAAGTTGAACAATATAAAGGAGCTTGAAAATGAAAATGAACTATTCAAGACACATTTCCAACAACAATAATTCAAGGATGTGTTTATCACTCTAAAAATGCAGTTTTTAAGAAAATTCAAGTAAGTTTTAGACAAACAATCAGTGAATAATTGAAAAGGTCTCCTTTGATACAGAGTCTTGGATATACAAAAGATTATAAAGAAAACGATTATGAAGGAAAAATGCTGAGAAAAATTATGGCTTTACCATTTTTACCTGCCAATATAATTAAGACAATTTAAAATTATTAAAAGACAACTTGTGGAAAAAAGTTTATTTCTGGATTTTTTGGAATACTTTGAAAGAATTTTTATTAGAAATAATATATGGAAAATAAATAATTGGTCAATCTATCAAGTCACCATCAGAATCAACAATGATGTAGAGTCTTGGCACCATCGATTAAATAGTCAATCTGGGCAAAGTCTAAATTTTTATGATTTGATTTTGAGGTTAAATCATGAATCAAAAGTTGTTGCTCTTTATGAAAAGCTGTTATCAGAGAAAAAGATATGCAGAACTCGGAAACATAAATATAAAGAATTGGAAGGTAAAATTTGTTTAGTTTGGAAAGAATTTGCAAATAGTAACAAAACAGCTGATGATGTTTTAACAGAAGTTTGCAACATGTATTATCCATAACTTTTAAAATACAAATTTTGATGAGAATGAAATAAATTGTCAGAGTTTATATTACTATTCTTTTAACTTGAGTGTAGGATATATGATAGTTTATTATAACATAATGCTAATCTGCTTTGGTAGTAAAACAATATCAAAAGAAGGTTTTCATTGAACAACACAAAAATATTATCAATTTGTTTCATTAAACTTTCCTAATCACATACTATCCAGGGAATTATAATCATGGGGGTCAACTGTCTGGGGGTCGGCTGTCCTTTACCCGTATTGAACGAGTATTGTACTATGCAGATAGCACTCATAGAGATCAGAGTTAGCTTGACTTCCATGGCAACTGAAAATGAAATTTGGGATTCATTGGATGAAGAATTCAATCCAGATCCTATGGCTTTTAAAAAAGATATTGACAGATTGAAACAGTTTGATGATGAAACTGTTAAGAGTTTTATTAAAAGTAAAGAACTTGTAGAAAAATTCCTATTTTATAAGATTTTGTTTTTTGCTTATAGCATGAAATTCCTAAGAATTTCGTATAAATTGTATTTGATGTTCTTTTGGTCACTCACACTCATAACATGTAATGTGAACAGAACATTAGCATATAACATTCTGTTTACAAACAATGGAGTCATGCTCTTTATGCAAATATGCTTTTTCATCAGGATTGTCTGAAAAGTCAGCATTATTGCAATCATAAATTTTTGTAATTTCAATTTAAAAACTAAAGGGTTAGGGTTAGGTTAGGCTGTTGTGATATATGCAAAGATATAAAACAAGAACATGTCAGATATGTTTAATTTGTCTAATAAACCTAGAGAAAACCTATCTTGTTACATTACCTATCTTATCCTGTATATAATTAGGATCACAGGGTGACCCACATTTCCACCAAAGTGTTGTTGATTCAAAAACTGGGCAACTACATGAAATCTGTTACGATGTTGTTGGCCAATCAGGTCAATCAATTCATATTCTAAGTGATCCAATCTTAAAGGTGAAGGTTGACGGAACTCTTAAAGATGATTATTATATGCATGAGATTCGGATAACAATGAATACAGAACTAATTATAATAAAAACATATGTAATAATTCTTTCCAATGATATTATTGAATGAAACTATAGTAACAAACCAAAAAACTGTTCAAAGAGGACAATGTGCTGTTTTATTATCTAAAAATAAAGTTGAAATATCTATTGAAAAGAAACAAAGAAATCTAACAATTAAAATTTCAATAGGGGAAAAATCTTTGACTGGCCCTTTTCTAAATGTTCTATTTGACAATGCCAATATGGCGATTGGTATTTTCGGAGGAATTATTGGAGATATTGGAAGAAAACATTTCAATATTGTCCGATCTGTTCAGAATAATTTTAAGTCAATAGTTCAGATTGATGGTCAATATGCAGGAGCAATTAAAAAGATAAGATATGGAAAAAGCTGCTTGTTTATTGAATTCAAAGATTTAATATCGGATACGAGAGAAAACGTCCACAAATTGGTACTTTTACCCTAACCCTAACCCAGCCCTTAGGTGTACCTAACCTTTTGCATTACACCTAACCCTTAGAGGAGACCCTCCTAAGTACAAATCAGTTGCTGTTTTCTTTTGCCTAATCATTTCTCAATCTAAACATTTGTCTTGAAATTTCTCATTTGTGGACGTTTTCTGTCGACCCCATAAAAAGGGTGGGGCAGCATTTTTACAGTGATGTTTTCTTTGGTGAATGATGCGTCACCATAAACATTTTGTTGTATCAGTTGCAGTTACAAGGTATGGTCCACTCCATTTGCTTGTATTTATTCTGTCCTGTCTTGAAAGGCTTCAGTACAATCACCATTAGACTGATTATTGATAGGCTTGATGTACCCACAGCTCAAAGATTAGTATCTGCCGCTATTAAGTCGACCAATAAAATTATTAAAAATTTCAAACTGCTCCGATATCTATGAGATTTGGTATAGGGTTAGATCAGGAACGAACGAATGCCTATACAAAATTTAAGCAAAATCTGCCCACCTGTTTAGGAGCTTTACCGGTTTGAAAAAGACAGTGGTCACAAGTGGTTGTTACAATGATTAGAATAAACAGTGAGGATTTTTATACTGTGATATTGGTTTCCAACATACAATCATCACTTTGTTGTTGGTGAAATATCTAGTTCAGATTTATCTTTAGTAACAAAATGTCACAAAGTCTAAAATTTTAGGACAGCTAATTTAGTTAGAACTTGGCCACAGCTTAGGAAGGCTAATTGAGTTATCATTTGGCCAAATCTTTAACTGGTAATTAAAGATAACCTTTGTGGATGACTACTAACAAATGTATGAGTTTTTTTTCAAATAAAATTTGAATAAGAAATTCGTGTCAGTATGCTTTAAGACAACTATCTCTCTTATCCAAAAACAGGGGCCTTCTTAACAAAACAAAATTTTTTTTTTCGAATGAAGGCCAATTGTATCTATATTAGCTTTAAAGCAAGTTTCAACAATCAATTAAAAAGGAAAATAGAACTATAGAACTAATTCAAAACTTTCTTTCCGGGAAAGGTATTTTACAAAAGTGATATATTTAACCATTGTTTAATTTTCAGTTATTCACCTGTGTAAATATTCTGCCATTTTTTGTTTTCTACAACTTTTATTATATTTTATGCTTTTATTAATTTTTGCTTTTAATATTTCAATCTGGAACTTTAATTAGAGGAGTGTATCATTCCTTTAAAACAAAGATTTTATAATATACAAAGAAGAAACAATTGAGTACAATACTGTAGAAAGTACTATTTTGGAACTTGTATTCTTTTTTCCAGAATCATCCGTTCCTCCATCACCTTCACTCTCTCCTATACTCTCTCCAATATGTCTGTTGCATTTATTAGTGTTACAGTAACAACGATATGCGTAAGGTGTTCTTTGGCACGAAGAATCATACTTTGTTGGTACACAGGTTCTAAAAACAGTTTCTATACCTATAAAAAAATGGTTTAAAAAAATTACTGAAAAAAATCAAAAAATTAAAACTTCAATATGAAATTTACCTTCAGACTTCTGATAGTAATAAGAACAAGTTTCACCTAGACACGTCGAAGTTGATGTACCACTTGCACAGCCAATGTCATTAGCACTTGAACAGCTGTAACAAGTTACAGCTAAAAGAAAAAGAAATAGATTAATACATACATAAAAAAATATAGTTACCTCCAGCTCCTCCACTACTTTCACTTTGTTCAGTTTGTCCATTGCATCTATCAGTGTTACAGTAACAAACATACACACTATTAACTGTTAGGCACCTATTACCAAGGTTGCCATAAGTACAGCCTCTACCAAAAACTTTTTTACCTATAAAAATTGGTAAAAAAAAAAGATACTGATAAATCAAAAAGTCATAAGTTCAATGTAAAATTTACCTAAATTTGTCGAATAGCCATAAAAACAAGTACCACCTTGGCATGTAGTAAATGTACTACTGTCACTTTCGCACTTTTTATAATCTGCACATTGGTAACAAGTGAGAGCTAAAACAGAAAAAAAAAACAAAGAAAAGATTATAAAATATCTAACAAAATATAATTGAACTTACCATAAGATACTGGCAACAAAGTCACAAAGATAATTAGAAGTTTAAACATATTTCTCGTTTTTAATTTCTAGGTATTTTGTCTTACAATGTTCAGAATCGCAAATGTTATTCTGCAAAAATTTCCCCTAATGTTCTATTTTTATATCAGATAATTTATAATTTATTCAAAAAATTGTAATTTGAAATATGATTATTCATATATTTAATACCAACTACTTTCTCATTGGTATAACCTCATGAATAATAATAAGAAAATGGTGGAAGCCATTGAATCAATAGGAAGTAAATTAGACATATTGAGTCTGTTAATCATTCATTTAAAATGTTATTAAGCTAAGCCTCTGGTTTTTGGGAAAGCATTTATAATGGAATGAAGTGCATATTTAAAAATCAGAGAATAACAGGGGAAAGGAAAATGGCGGAAAATGACCAGGATTAAAAATATCCAGACTAAAAAATGGCCAGTGGATTAATTGAAAACAGTCACAATATTAATTGAAAATTTGCTAGAACCCAGATTGAAAGTTGACAAAATCTATTTGTGTATATATATATATATATAGCAATATCTGTTTTTAACTATTAAATGTGGGTTTAATACGATTTATCATTAATTTATATCACAAAATTAGTTAATAAGTTAATTTCAATTCTACTCATAATCTCCATTGTCTCTTTTTCACCATACTATTGCATTTTCTTAAGTCTGCTTTTGTCAAGATCCACAATTGATTTTTCAAGTTCAATTTACATTCTTATAGTCAGTTATTGAATGCAAAATATTAAGTAAATCCTATATTGACAAACACTGACAAGAATTTTCAAAAAATATTTTTCAAGCCATAAGTTACATATTAGCTTAATTGAATAAAAGATCTATATGAATACTGCTTTAAGCATACTTAAAAGAAATTACTTAAATCTTAGGCCAAATTCAAGACTTTCAGGACAAAACAAGAAAATTGTATTTTTAATCGTATGATGTTTATTTGGGGATCCAGACAAAACGTCCCCTGGACAGATTGTCTCTTGAGCAACAGAAGTGAAATAATTTCTTTATTGTACTAAATAATGTTTTATTGAATTGCTAATTAAATATTAATATAAAAAGTGTTTCAAACTATTTTTAATGTACTTAAAATTAGAATTATTTGATTTGAAAAAAAAGTACTATTTTACAGGAAGTCTTGTCCACTTCCTGTTTTTGATACATGGTAACCATCATTTTTTACTACACTTTTTATTTTTGGTGCTGTAACCATTGTTTCTGATTTAAAACAAGGTGGTTTTGGTATAGATATTTAACTAATTGACTATGTCGATAAGCAATGGATTTCTTGAGATTTCTTTGTTCCAAGTACCTGGTCAGTCTACAGAGAAATAATTAGGACTAACAATGACTTGGAAGGTTGGCATAATATGTTTAATAGAAATGTATCTGCTAATATTATAATATTCTCCTTATCATTATAGAAAGCAAATATTTGTTTTTCATTTTAAATCTTGGAAATATGCTCACTTTAATGTGATAGGCCTAAGCCTTCTTTCTATTGTCTTGTATAAGAATTGAATTTCCAATTCTGAAATTTTAAAAATAAATGACCTATAAATCTGGTGACACTATTCAATAATCAGGGTAAATTTTTTGAACATAACTGATGCTTGTACTTTTCCATAAATAGGCCTATCACATTAAAGTGAGCATGTTTCCTCCATGTATTTAACAAGATCATATAACTGTCAATATCAGCTAAATTTCTTTTAATTTTTTTTAATGTGATGTTTCATGATATTACTGGGAAGAAATGGAAAAGCTAACATCATCTTCATTGCATGCCACTTTCCTGTTTTGTTTTTGTAGTCTGTACTGTAGACAAGCTCATAGTGTTTTTTTTTTTACATATTAAAAATTTCAAAATCTATTTGAAATCATTACTTTGATTTTTCTAAATATAGCCTGAGATCACTGAAACAAACATCCACTTACAGTGGTGAAAGAAACTTTTCGTTGGATGGAATATTTTTTTGTAAGGGCTATTTTGAAGGGTAATCAATGGCCTTGTTTTAAAAAAATATTGACTAAAATGTAGGAAATTTTGTCTAGTTTTATGAATAGTTTTCAGATTCTCTCTACCTCTCCTAGTTTACAAATTATTTGCATTTATCAATGCACCAAAGTACTCACACCACATAGAACCAGAGCTGACTAGCTTGGGAAATGCATTTCCTTTTATACATTTCCCAAATCTTGGATTCAATTTGGTGTTTTGTAATTTGGTATGTAAATTCAGTTTGTTTTGAAATAAAATTTTGAGATATGATCCAATCTATCCAGAGAAGGGGGACTATGTTGATTATTTTTAATGTTTTCAACATTAGCGTTTGATTTGAGGGTTGATTCAGGAAAAAGTCCATTAGACAAATTATAGGGAATAATTCAGGATCTTTAATGAAATATATACTTAATTTTATCAATTTGGTTTGTGATTTAATAAATCTAATGATATTATAAGTCAAAGTCTTGGAATTGATTGTCAGCTTCTTTGAATATGAGGGATAGAAAAGCTATTCCTAAGACAAATTTCACCTTGTTTGTCTATTGAGGAATATATTTGAAACAAAGCCAATTGTTTTAAACTATTAACAGCCATTATATTCAATATCCGCTGAAACTGAAAGCAAAGACTATGATTCTCTAACATAAATTGTGGTTTGGACACCACAAAAAGCAGAATTAGAACAATTTTCGAAATTCTTTTATGTTAAAAAAAATATTCTTTTACTCTCTTTCTTGATTTTTTAATAACTTTGTTGCATTGGAATTTCATTTTTTATTACAAAGACAAAATTTTTCCCAGCAGCAGAATCAAAGGGATTATTCAATGGTACACAGCCAAAATCATCTGTACTGAGTATTCTAAGCTTGCATTATTGAAGCCTTTATAAGGAATTGAGTTCACTTTACAATATTCAACACTATCACACCTAGATCTGATAAATAAAGCAATAATACAATTGTAACATGGCAGTGGCATAACAAAGAGCTGTTGAAACCCTAACCACTTAGCAGAAATTATATGTCAGCTTTCGCTACAACTTATCGATAGTGAGTTTTCAGTATTTCTATTTATTATACCTTTAAATTTAAGATAATCACTTTGAAAGCTTTTTGTAGATAAGACTGTCTTGATCTATACATTTGCGAGAAAAACTAATATTAAATATTTTCAGCTACCTTAATGACAACTCATTATTATGGATTCAATGGAAAACTTGTGTTTTAACTATTATGAAAATACACTTAAAACTATACTAAATCATTCATTCATATTTGATTTATTCTATTGTCATTTAACTGAGAAAAGAATCATTAGCGATCATTTTGGCAACTTTCCAATCAAACCGTATAAAACACACAAAAGTGAAGCTATTATAGAGCTCACCAATGTAATGAAAAACTGTAACTTCATAGATGTTATTGATATTCTACGCCAAACTAGTGACATCAGCGAAGAATTGGCTACAAATTTAAGTTAGGAAAAAGTTTCCATATGAAAAATTTGATGTACAAGTTGGCAAATGAAGAATGGAATTCTGATTATAATGAAAAATTGTTTATATTCATTATTTTGAAAAATGTTGCAAAAGACACAACAATTTATGAAGAGATTTATAGACAAACTTTTAAAAACATTTCTTATATCAATCAACATATTATTCAATTGTTTTTTCAAGAAAGAAAAAAGATATTGTATTATTAATAGATGGAGCAGATGAGTTTCATTTGCCAACACATCAACTTCATGATATAATCAATAGGGCAAATTGTGATATTCAACCTGCTCTTTGGACTAGAAAATGGAAAGGGGAACAAATCAGAAGCACTTGCGACATTGCATTTGAATTGACTGAATGGACTAACCATCAAATGGAAATATTTTTTCAAAAATGTTTTTTTAAAGACAATAACAAAGCTAAGAATTTAGTTGAAAATGTTGTTAAGAAATATCAGATAATTAAAAATTTATGTCAAGTACCACTTTTAGCAATGATTCTAATGTATATTTGGACAGAAAAAGGTGATATTTCTAACAAAAGTGTTTTTCAACTATATGAAGATTTTGTTAGTATAGTACAAGAGAAAAATTTGGAGATTACACATAGAAGCAAATGTAATATAGAAGAAATATATAAATTATGCTTTATCAATCTTTCAAAAACTAAAATTATCCTTGACATAAATACAGATTTTGAAAAAGTTATTGAGAATTGTCTAAAAGGTTTAATTGGTATAGTTCCTTCTATGTTGATGAAAAAAGAGTTACAACTGTATCATTTTTCTTTTCAAGAATATTTTGCAGCCAAATATTTAATAAAAGAATTTGAAAAGAAACCTAAACACAAAGTTTGGACAACAAAAAATTCACTGAATGAGAAAATAACTTTGGATGAATTGTTCGAAGAATGTCACAATATCAAAGTGTATAATACATTAGATTTTGTTAAACAATATTCTGAATCTATATTCAAAAACATTTTCCTCTCTTCTAAAATTGCACAACAAATATTTGAATGTAGTGAAAATGTGCAAAATTACTAATCAAATCATTAATTGCAACTTTAATTCTATTATTATGACTAACTAGATGATCTCTCTCCAAATAATTTAGTTCTAGTACTGTGTTATTGAAAGATAATCTTTTTGACAATTTGGTGAATACTCTACATCAAATTTAATAAATCTGACAAATATATAAAGAAAAATATTATTTTATCAAAACCTGAGGAGGTGAAGAGATAAGGATTAAGGGATTTAATGATTATCCTCTCACTCCTGCATGATAATTGATAAACTTTATTTTCATAATCTTTTAATTCAAAGGATAGAGATGAATCTATTACATCACTTTTTTTCTTTTTCACCAAAATAATAGATTTTTAGAGATTTCTTTACAGGCATGTGATTTACATGAAGAATACAGTGTACAATTTGGAAATTTTCTAAGGGGGTCGGGAAAAAACGTCCTAATTGTTGGGAAAAAACATCCTAAAGGCTGGGAAAACACGTCCTATGCCTGGCACAAGAAATACTTGGCATAATTTTTGATACTTAT